ACCAAACCTGATGTTGACATTTGACTGGCAACACACCAAACCTGATGTTGACATTTGACAGGCAACACACCAAACCTGATGTTGACATTTGACTGGCAACACACCAAACCTGATGTTGACATTTGACTGACCTGATGTTGACATCTAACTGGCAACACACCAAACCTGATGTTGACATTTGACTGGCAACACACCACACACCTGTGCGGAATAGAAATGTTAACAATTCTAGATGACTACATTGCAATAATCATTCCTAATTAATTATCCAAAGCATAAGTAATGAGAGGTGTACATTTTAGAATGAAACAATGTAGATATGCACCTATTTTGGCATGCACCACCTTGGGGAGTTGCCACTACCAGACTCTCGGTGTGACTGGGTTCAAATCTGTTTCAACTTAAACAAATAGAAAGGTGGGAAAGGAGAAAAAATAGAAAGGTGGGAAAGATGAAAAAATAGAAAGGTGGGAAAGGAGAACAAATAGAAAGGTGGGAAAGGAGAAAAAATAGAAAGGTGGGAAAGAAGAAAAAATAGAAAGGTGGGAAAGAAGAAAAAATAGAAAGGTGGGAAAGGAGAAAAAATAGAAAGGTGGGAAAGAAGAAAAAATAGAAAGGTGGGAAAGATGAAAAAATAGAAAGGTGGGAAAGGAGAAAAAATAGAAAGGTGGGAAAGAAGAAAAAATAGAAAGGTGGGAAAGATGAAAAAATAGAAAGGTGGGAAAGGAGAAAAAATAAAAAGGTGGGAAAGGAGAAAAAATAAAAAGGTGCGAAAGGAGAAAAAATAAAAAGGTGGGAAAGGAGAAAAAATAAAAAGGTGGGAAAGCAAACAACTGTCTAACTCTCCATTTCTCAGTTCAACAATTAGAAAAAAGAAGTCAATCTTTGGGTAAGGTCAACATTAAGTGGTGCATGTTTGGTTGGAACTTGCCATAGTTGTCTCTCCTGTGTATCTTGTCATTCATTTGGACATCCCAAGTTACCAACCTAATTTAATTTATCAGATTTCCTACTGTCACCCCTAATTACATCAATAAGATTTTCATAAGTGACCCTTTATTAAATCAATGAGATTTTATACTGTGACCTCTAATTAGATCAATGAGATTTTCTACTCTGGCCCCTAATTAAATCAATGAGATTTTCTTCTGTGACCTCTAATTAGATCAATGATATTTTCTACTCTGACCCCTAATTAAATCAATGAGATTTTCTACTCTGACCCCTAATTAAATCAATGAGATTTTCTACTCTGACCCCTAATTAAATCAATGAGATTTTCTACTCTGACCCCTAATTAAATCAATGATATTTTCTACTCTGACCCCTAATTAAATCAATGATATTTTCTACTCTGACCCCTAATTAAATCAATGATATTTTCTACTCTGACTCTCTTGTCAGCTTTATGTATTGTTCACTTTTCATCATGAAGGCATTTTTGTCTAATGTTAGAAAAACAGCAACTTTCACGTGAAACTTGATGAAGCTATCAGTATGGTGACATAAGGCTTAGAAGAGCATAAGTAATTTTTGTGTTGGGTGTGACAGTGAGGATGCATTATATTTGAGACAAAAATTGTGTATTTCTTACAAACATAGGTCTCTATAAAACATTCAGATGAGTTTGATAATTATTGTAATCGGGAGTTGTACTAGAAACTAATTGGATTGTAATAATGCACTAAAAAGGAGAAAATAAAGGATTTTCTTTAAGTATATGATAATGAACTACTGTTGAAAAAACTAAAAGTGTGGGCACTTCTTGAATTCAAGCAAAGTTATTCAATACATATTAGAGCAACCCACACTTTAAGTTATTCAATACATATTAGAGCAACCCACACTTTAAGTTATTCAATACATATTAGAGCAACCCACACTTTAACTTATTCAATACATATTAGAGCAACCCACACTTTAACTTATTCAATACATATTAGAGCAACCCACACTTTAAGTTATTCAATACATATTAGAGCAACCCACACTTTAAGTTATTCAATACATATTAGAGCAACCCACACTTTAACTTATTCAATACATATTAGAGCAACCCACACTTTAAGTTATTCAATACATATTAGAGCAACCCACACTTTAACTTATTCAATACATATTAGAGCAACCCACACTTTAAGTTATTCAATACATATTAGAGCAACCCACACTTTAACTTATTCAATACATATTAGAGCAACCCACACTTTAACTTATTCAATACATATTAGAGCAACCCACACTTTAACTTATTCAATACATATTAGAGCAACCCACACTTTAAGTTATTCAATACATATTAGAGCAACCCACACTTTAACTTATTCAATACATATTAGAGCAACCCACACTTTAACTTATTCAATACATATTAGAGCAACCCACACTTTAACTTATTCAATACATATTAGAGCAACCCACACTTTAACTTATTCAATACATATTAGAGCAACCCACACTTTAAGTTATTCAATACATATTAGAGCAACCCACACTTTAACTTATTCAATACATATTAGAGCAACCCACACTTTAACTTATTCAATACATATTAGAGCAACCCACACTTTAACTTATTCAATACATATTAGAGCAACCCACACTTTAAGTTATTCAATACATATTAGAGCAACCCACACTTTAACTTATTCAATACATATTAGAGCAACCCACACTTTAAGTTATTCAATACATATTAGAGCAACCCACACTTTAACTTATTCAATACATATTAGAGCAACCCACACTTTAAGTTATTCAATACATATTAGAGCAACCCACACTTTAACTTATTCAATACATATTAGAGCAACCCACACTTTAACTTATTCAATACATATTAGAGCAACCCACACTTTAACTTATTCAATACATATTAGAGCAACCCACACTTTAACTTATTCAATACATATTAGAGCAACCCACACTTTAACTTATTCAATACATATTAGAGCAACCCACACTTTAACTTATTCAATACATATTAGAGCAACCCACACTTTAACTTATTCAATACATATTAGAGCAACCCACACTTTAACTTATTCAATACATATTAGAGCAACCCACACTTTAACTTATTCAATACATATTAGAGCAACCCACACTTTAACTTATTCAATACATATTAGAGCAACCCACACTTTAAGTTATTCAATACATATTAGAGCAACCCACACTTTAACTTATTCAATACATATTAGAGCAACCCACACTTTAACTTATTCAATACATATTAGAGCAACCCACACTTTAACTTATTCAATACATATTAGAGCAACCCACACTTTAACTTATTCAATACATATTAGAGCAACCCACACTTTAACTTATTCAATACATATTAGAGCAACCCACACTTTAACTTATTCAATACATATTAGAGCAACCCACACTTTAACTTATTCAAATAGTGGTTCATTTGATATATTTAAAGAAAATCATTTATTTTCTCCCTTATAGTATATTATTACACAAAAGCTTATTATTAAAACGTTTTTTACACAATTTTTACTCATATTTCTAATTAATGGCATCTGCCTGTTTCTTCTATAAAAAAAATAAAGGTTAATCTCTTGTAGGCCTATAATAATTTTTTTTAAATGTGGCCTTTACACACCTTACATATCTGTACATCAACTGCTACTTGTTGTTAGATGTTGTGTACACAGTTTACACAATCATATTTTCAATGTTTACTGCTGTTAGATGTTGTGTACACAGTTTACACAATCATATTTTCAATGTTTATTGTTGTTAGATGTTGTGTACACAGTTTACACAATCATATTTTCAGTGTTTATTGCTGTTAGTTGTTTGGATTTTCAGTGTTTATTGCTGTTAGTTGTTGTGTTGAGTCATTTTATTTGTTATTAATTGTCTTGATATAAGATAATGTTAAACCTAGTAACATGTTCATGCGCTCATTCATTTTTTAAAGAGAAACATTGAAAAAAATCTTTTGTAGTATTCTTAATTATCATTTTTAGTATAAATTAATCAATACTAATATTTGTTAGCAATAAATTTACTCTTACAGTATCCGGTGCATTAATTTGATTCCCTTAAGTCCAGTCTTGTAACTTACACAAGGAGAGAATGATAAATGTTTTACAAGCTTTTACCTGGTTCACAATGTCTGTTGGTGGCAAATCTTGTAGCTCAATTTTGACTAACTTCTAATGCAATTTTCTAGATAAATTATTCTTCTACTCTAGGGTAATATGTGAATATCTGTTTTTTAATTTAATTAGATGTTAAGTTTGTCATTAAAAAATTTAAGTAAATGGTTTTGAAACTAAGGGGACACAACAAAATAAAATCTAAGCAATTACTCGATAGATTACTATATTCATTAACAAAGGGGAGATAAGACACTATTACCCAACTTGTCTGGTGAACTGTGGCTCACGCCAAATGTTTACCATCTTAGAGCAGGGTCCAATTAGTCAAGACTATTAGGACAGATAATATAGTTTTTAAATGATTTGAAACTAAGGGAAGGTAGCAAGATTAAGAACTACCCTTTGCTTTATCAGCTAGCTGTTGTCTGTAAATTGTGGTCACGGTCGGCTGCTTTCATGGGGCATCGTCTTTCAGAAATTGCGAGCTACATACGGTGTTTTTGAAAGCAAATATTTTTGTGTCGACTTCATAAATTAGGAAGCGCTAAAAATTAGAAAACAAAACAAATATTAAAAAACCTTTAGAGCAGCAAACTTTTCAATGCACTGAAAATAAAAAAATAAAACTAATTTGCTTTCTTGAATAAAAGCTTTGGACGCACATAAGATCTTTAACATTTTAGCAACCAAAGCTTTTAATGAAAGAAAGCAAATTATTTTTATTTCCTTCAGTGCATTCAAAAGCTTAAAAGTTTGTTATTCTTTTTTAATTAAAAAATCATGTGACCTTACTCATACCACAAGTCAGAATATTAACCCCATGAACTGTAGGATATAGATGTAATGTAATGAAAGATGTTGTTGTTGTTGATACAGGAGGAAGTCTATCAACTCCAGCCGTCCTGCCTCCTCATCATGTCCTTCATACATGTATCCTGACATCAGCGCTTTCCCAGAGTTGAAAGGAGGAAGCAGTGATGAAAACCTTTATGTTGATCTGGTACAATTTCTCATTCAATTAGCCGTTGGTACCCGTTACACAGGAATTATAGGCCTATATATTTTAATGTTATACTTGTTTGAGAAAAATATTTTATAAAATAGTTATTGGTCAAAAGGCAATGTGCTTTACTACAGGTTGAACGATATTAGTGACAAAGCAAAGAAATAACTAAATAGCTAAAAATCCAACACATTTAAAATAATATAGGCTACCAATATTTAATAGAAAAATTAAAACCAAATTATATACATTATTAGTCAACACAACACCATATTAAATCACACACGAATAAGAGACTTAAATGATTCTGTTAAAAACCCGGCTGTTCAATGGTGATTCTTTTTTTTTAAAAGTAATTTGTGTTAGTTTGACCAAGAAAATTGTATACATTTCGTAGCGTACGTCTTGATAATTAGATCTAAGTCAAATTTGAATGAAATAGTTCATTTCTTCATATTCTAAAATTGTAAGATGACACCATACGTTTTGTGTTCTTTCCATAGCTTAACATGAGACATGTGACATCATTGTTTATTGCTTTCTTGTCACAACAATAAACACTTTTCCATTGGCATAATTAAAAATGTGTTTCTACATTGGAATATTGCTTTATTAATACTTTCTTTGTTTAACTAAAATTTAGTAAATACATTTAAAACACCCACCATATCTTTAAGTTTTCCATATATCGCTGAAGATACTGATCTCTTAGGCTCGGGACATGCGGACAGAGAGGGAGAGAAAGAGAGAACTGGGCACATGGCCTTTTATAAATTAGGATTAGGCATAGCATAAATATGACCCTCCTAAATCAGACCTAGACTCCAAGACTGAACTCAACTTTTCTGTCTCCCACACATTGTCTGTCTAGATGGATGGTGTCTATCTAGGTTGATGTTGTCTGTTTAGACTGATGGTGTCTCTTTTAGACTGATGGTGTCTATCTAGGTTGATGGTGTCTCTTAGACCGATGGTGTCTGTTTAGACTGATGGTGTATGTTCTCGCCTGTAGGAAGATGAGCACATCTATGGTAAAAGCAGTGATGTCTATGTCAGCCAGTTTGAATCCGAGCCCTTATACCAATGGTACAACAAGAACAAGATGATCCAGAACATTGGATCGGATCAATCCACTGCGGATGAGCTGTCAGATGAAGATTATTTAGAAGTAGATGAGAGAAAAACCCACCCAGGTTGGACTTGAAAGATATTTTTAGCAATTGTTTTTGTGTGTTCTGAATTAGGTATTGTGGTAGACAGTAGAGTGCTCCACAGCTAACTCCAGAGCACCCACTGATGGGTACCTAGTAATGTTAAGTAAAGGTGGCCGGGCTTTGTGCTGACCACACTATAAATGCCATGACCATTGAATGTGTTGTGTTTTTTCAGTGTATGAGGATGTGGAAAGACTTTTAGAGAAGACCAGTAGCAGTTCTAGCATTTCAGCCTCTAGCAGCACCAAAAGTGATAGACAACAGTCTTTGAGTGCTAAAGACAAGCCACAACGCAGGTCTGTCATTGAAGATGTCTTCAAGAAAGGCGGTACGCTTCACCGAGCACTTTGGTGTCAGATGCCAGAGGTGAGCCTGACAACTTTCTTTCATCTAGATTTTAAAAAATGAAAGTAAGTGGCTCTTTTATGCATGACTACACCTTTCATCCTATCGCCAAGAAATTTTAGAAAGTTGTTGAAGATAAACCTGAGAGGTTTCTGCGATCAAAAAAATTTCTCCAGGGGCAGTAGGGTGTGGTTAGTCGCACGGAGTTCCCCAGCTATTTTAGCACCTGGGGTCAGTTGATTAGGGGTCCTACGGAAATTTTAAGATAAAATTTCCTGGCTGGCCGGGAAATCTGATGAGTAGTTGAAATCTTCATAAAAGTCAGGAATATTTTCCATCCCCCACATATAATGAGATTTTGACTAGGCATTAGCATCAACATATCTTGTAGATTAGAGTTAAAGCTCACAAAACATGGTTACACAGTATTGGAGCAAATAAAAAAAAATCACCCACTTACTATTTGTGATTTTTTTTTCAGAGGGTGCCATTTTTCTGGATTATGCCTCTCTGGGTTAGCAAAATTTGATTTAAAAAAAAATGGCAGTATTTGAGGTTACAAAATAGAACGTGTATATTTTCAGGTGATAGAAAGTGGTTTATTGCTTCAACTTTCTGACCAAATAGAACGTGTATATTTTCAGGTGATAGAAAGTGGTTTATTGCTTCAACTTTCTGACCAAATAGAACGTGTATATTTTCAGGTGATAGAAAGTGGTTTATTGCTTCAACTTTCTGACCAAATAGAACGTGTATATTTTCAGGTGATAGAAAGTGGTTTATTGCTTCAACTTTCTGACCAAATAGAACGTGTATATTTTCAGGTGATAGAAAGTGGTTTATTGCTTCAACTTTCTGACCAAATAGAACGTGTATATTTTCAGGTGATAGAAAGTGGTTTATTGCTTCAACTTTCTGACCAAATAGAACGTGTATATTTTCAGGTGATAGAAAGTGGTTTATTGCTTCAACTTTCTGACCAAATAGAACGTGTATATTTTCAGGTGATAGAAAGTGGTTTATTGCTTCAACTTTCTGACCAAGAGAAAAAAATCCAGGAGGTGAGTGGACATTTTTTTAGAACCCAAAAAGTTAGTGAGCAATGGATAGAAATTTGATTTCCACAAGCATGGTGTGAGAACCCAAAAAGTTAGTGAGCAATGAATAGAAATTTGATTTCCACAAGCATGGTGTGAGAACCCAAAAAGTTAGTGAGCAATGAATAGAAATTTGATTTCCACAAGCATGGTGTGAGAACCCAAAAAGTTAGTGAGCAATGAATAGAAATTTGATTTCCACAAGCATGGTGTGAGAACCCAAAAAGTTAGTGAGCAATGAATAGAAATTTGATTTCCACAAGCATGGTGTGAGAACCCAAAAAGTTAGTGAGCAATGAATAGAAATTTGATTTCCACAAGCATGGTGTGAGAACCCAAAAAGTTAGTGAGCAATGAATAGAAATTTGATTTCCACAAGCATGGTGTGAGAACCCAAAAAGTTAGTGAGCAATGAATAGAAATTTGATTTCCACAAGCATGCTGTGAGAACCCAAAAAGTTAGTGAGCAATGAATAGAAATTTGATTTCCACAAGCATGGTGTGAGAACCCAAAAAGTTAGTGAGCAATGAATAGAAATTTGATTTCCACAAGCATGGTGTGAGAACCCAAAAAGTTAGTGAGCAATGAATAGAAATTTGATTTCCACAAGCATGGTGTGAGAACCCAAAAAGTTAGTGAGCAATGAATAGAAATTTGATTTCCACAAGCATGCTGTGAGAACCCAAAAAGTTAGTGAGCAATGAATAGAAATTTGATTTCCACAAGCATGGTGTGAGAACCCAAAAAGTTAGTGAGCAATGAATAGAAATTTGATTTCCACAAGCATGGTGTGAGAACCCAAAAAGTTAGTGAGCAATGAATAGAAATTTGATTTTTGAAATATTTTTCAGGCAATGTTTGAAATAATGACATCAGAGGCATCGTATCTCAAGTCTCTCAAAGTTCTTATCACAGTCTTCCTATCTGCACCCGAGTTTTCTGCTGAAATGTCAGATAGATGTGTCATCACTAAGAGAGAGAGACAAATACTTTTTTCAAATATTGGACACATAAAAGATATCAGTGAAGAGTAAGGACATGGTGGTATACCATTATTGTTTTGTTTTTCCATAATTTATATAATGTGCCATTTGTCCCTTATATAATGTGCCATTTGTCCCTTATATAATGTGCCATTTGTCCCTTATATAATGTGCCATTTGTCCCTTATATAATGTGCCATTTGTCCCTTATATAATGTGCCATTTGTCCCTTATATAATGTGCCATTTGTCCCTTATATAATGTGCCATTTGTCCCTTATATAATGTGCCATTTGTCCCTTATATAATGTGCCATTTGTCCCTTATATAATGTGCCATTTGTCCCTTATATAATGTGCCATTTGTCCCTTATATAATGTGCCATTTGTCCCTTATATAATGTGCCATTTGTCCCTCTCTAATGAAATGTTAACTCATTCCCTCCGGATGCGACTAAATGTAGCCTCGGGGGGGTTCCACCTGATGCGTCTGGCCACACTCTCCTTTTTTTCTTTTCAACTAGATAAATCTCGCTAGATTAATACCGGTAACCACGTAGTAGCGAGAATCCACGAGATTTCAATTTTTAAAAACCAGAAGTTTTTATCTTGTTTAGTTCACTTTCAAAACATGGTTCACACTGTGATTTTTGTGTTGAATAAATGTTACATGTACAATTTTTGTTGTTTCCTTTTTTTATACTGTTGTTTTTATTGTTATGCCAGTATTGTTATATTTATCTGAAAGTTTGTCCATTTCTGAGTGCATTCGTCTTTGTAATATTGTTATATTTCTCTGAAAGTTAGTCCATTTTTGAGTGCATTTGTCTTTGTAATATTGAATTGATTCATTATTAGATGGTAAAAAAAATATAATTTTTAAATACATGTTATAAAAATTGAAGTAGCGTCCCTTTGTTCAGGAATGTAAACTGGAAGTGGAGGCTTAGGAGGGAATGAATTAACTGCTGTAAGGTCCATTTTTCCCAATCTAATGAAATGTTATCTGCCGTATGGGCCATTTTTCTCTATCTAATGAAATGTTATCTGCCGTATGGGCCATTTTTCTCTATCTAATGAAATGTTATCTGCCGTATGGGCCATTTTTCTCTATCTAATGAAATGTTATCTGCCGTATGGGCCATTTTTCTCTATCTAATGAAATGTTATCTGCCGTATGGGCCATTTTTCTCTATCTAATGAAATGTTATCTGCCGTATGGGCCATTTTTCTCTATCTAATGAAATGTTATCTGCCGTATGGGCCATTTTTCTCTATCTAATGAAATGTTATCTGCCGTATGGGCCATTTTTCTCTATCTAATGAAATGTTATCTGCCGTATGGGCCATTTTTCTCTATCTAATGAAATGTTATCTGCCGTATGGGCCATTTTTCTCTATCTAATGAAATGTTATCTGCCGTATGGGCCATTTTTCTCTATCTAATGAAATGTTATCTGCCGTATGGGCCATATATCCCAATCTAATGAAATGTTATCTGCCGTATGGGCCATTTTTCTCTATCTAATGAAATGTTATCTGCCGTATGGGCCATTTTTCTCTATCTAATGAAATGTTATCTGCCGTATGGGCCATTTTTCTCTATCTAATGAAATGTTATCTGCCGTATGGGCCATTTTTCTCTATCTAATGAAATGTTATCTGCCGTATGGGCCATTTTTCTCTATCTAATGAAATGTTATCTGCCGTATGGGCCATTTTTCTCTATCTAATGAAATGTTATCTGCCGTATGGGCCATATATCCCAATCTAATGAAATGTTATCTGCCGTATGGGCCATATATCCCAATCTAATGAAATGTTATCTGCCGTATGGGCCATATATCCCAATCTAATGAAATGTTAACGCCTGTAGATTTCTGAAAGACCTGGAGACAAGGTGGCAAGAATCTTGCTACATGAGTGATGTTTGTGATATTATTTACAAGCACGCCTCAAAAAACTTTGAACCTTATGTGCGCTACTGCAGTAATCAGGCTTTTCAAGACCGAGCACTAAACACCTTAAAGTAAGTAGAAATGACATTTTATTTGCCCGCAATCATCAGTCTTCATACCTTTCACCTACCTCTTGCACAAGCTTTCCCCCCCCCCCCCCCCCCCCCTCTTACAGAAATGTTTTTTGCTTGACTACAAGAATCTGGTAACTTGACCCCCAGACTTAAACCAGAATTTAATGAAGCTGTCAAGAGACTTGAGCTTCACCCTGACTGTCAGTTTCTACCTTTGGCCTCATTCTTGCTGCTGCCTATGCAGAGGATTACCCGGATGCCCCTGCTGGTGGATGCTGTGTGCCACAGACTTGAAACTGGCACACCAAGACATTCTAGTGCAAAAAAGGCTTTAGATAGCCTTACCAAGGTACTCATGCATTAGATAACAACACCAAGGTATTTAACTCATGCAATAGATAGCCTTACCAAGGTATGTAACTCATGCAATAGATAGCCTTACCAAGGTATTTAATTCCTGCAATAGATAGCCTTACTAAGGTATTTAACTCATGTTTTAGATAATTTGAAAATATTCCTGTTCACATATATATCAATGCAACATTTTTTCACTTGGTTTTGTTCTTCAGGTGGCTAAAAGGTGTGATGAAGCAGCTAAAAAGATGCAACAAACAGAACAAATATGTCTTTTAGCTTCAAATCTGGAATTTAAAGTCAAGGCAAGTCTAGTTAGTCTGATATATGATATATGTGAGTCCAACATCTGACTGGTTATGTTAGTCCAACATCTGACTGGTTATGTTAGTCCAACATCTGACTGGCTATGTTAGTCCAACATCTGACTGGTTATGTTAGTCCAACATTGGCTATGTTAGTCCAACATCTGACTGGTTATGTTAGTCCAACATCTGACTGGCTATGTTAGTCCAACATCTGACTGGTTATGTTAGTCCAACATCTGACTGGCTATGTTAGTCCAACATCTGACTGGTTATGTTAGTCCAACATCTGACTGGTTATGTTAGTCCAACATCTGACTGGTTATGTTAGTCCAACATCTGACTGGTTATGTTAGTCCAACATTGGCTATGTTAGTCCAACATCTGACTGGTTATGTTAGTCCAACATCTGACTGGCTATGTTAGTCCAACATCTGACTGGTTATGTTAGTCCAACATCTGACTGGTTATGTTAGTCCAACATCTGACTGGTTATGTTAGTCCAACATCTGACTGGCTATGTTAGTCCAACATCTGACTGGTTATGTTAGTCCAACATCTGACTGGCTATGTTAGTCCAACATCTGACTGGTTATGTTAGTCCAACATCTGACTGGTTATGTTAGTCCAACATCTGACTGGCTATGTTAGTCCAACATCTGACTGGCTATGTTAGTCCAACATCTGACTGGTTAAGTTAGTCCAACATCTGACTGGTTATGTTAGTCCAACATCTGACTGGTTATGTTAGTCCAACATTGGCTATGCTAGTCCAACATCTGACTGGCTATGTTAGTCCAACATCTGACTGGCTATGTTAGTCCAAAATCTGAGTGGTTAAGTTAGTCCAACATCTGACTGGCTATGTTAGTCCAACATCTGACTGGTTATGCTAGTCCAACATCTGACAAGTGGTACTTTATTCTATTTCCAGTTTCTTTATACATATAACTTGAGTACTGTTTAACCATTAATGTCCCATTCATTCTACCAAAACTCCACCCATGACGGCCCAATGTAAGGAGCATAACTCTGTATGATCAAGTGAATAGTTTCACAAAATATTTGTTTTTGTCTAAATGAAATTGAAAATTAAGATAAAAACTACTGCTTAATGTTGGGAATAAACCTGGCTTTCCAACAGTATTAAATAGAATATATTATAATCGGTAAAAGTACAGTAAAAAAATAAAAAATGTCGGAGAAAATTCAAAACAGGTCATTTTCGGTAGTCAACTTTATTTATTTTTGTCTAAACAACTAAGCATTGAATTTAACAGTTAAATATCAATTTGGTTATGTTTAAGATAAATAATTCATAAAATACATGCCTAGATACGTTTAGAGGCATTATTTTATCTTATTTTTAATATTAAATCTACTAAAAAAAGGACAGATGAGTCTAAAATTTCGAGATCGAAAGAAGCTATTATTTTTTATCTTTCAAAAGCGCCATTGAAATTATAAGACCGGAAAAGGATGCTGAAACCATCCGACTTCCTGTTTAGTTAAAAATTAGGATTTGTAGGCCAAATTTTAATGAAACAAATTTAATTTTTCTATGCGTATTTTAAGCGGGCGGCAGCGGGCGTTACGGGACATTAATGGTTAAGTTAGATGAAATTTAAAATATAAGTATCAGATCTTATCGACTGGTTTCTGTAAAGTTGTGAGTGATTTCAGTGAAATGTTACTTTATTCTACTACCTTATGATGACAATAACTAGAGTTTAGTTCCAGTTAGAATGATGAAATGTTATATACTATATACAAGTATTAGCTGCTGTCTCCTTTATAAGTGACCATGCTGCCTAAATATGTGAAATCTTTTTCTTTTTCTACTTCTGTGTTATTTTAATATACTCTTTGCAAGTTGTATTTTGTTTCATAAATTTGGTTTTGTTAACGTTTAATAGGAGTACAACTCTGTTTGCAAAAGAAACAAGTTAGTTTAGTTTTTCTTGCATACTAGTACTACAATTTTCTTTAACTAAATGGAATTTCCTTTCCAAATCCTTGTAGGCTATTTTTAATTTAAAAATTAGATAAAAAAAATAAAAAATAGCACTTGCGATTGATACAGGTATATGTACTTTTTAATTGAAAAAATAAAGCGCGAATGAGTTCTCCTAAACTTTCTCATCTATTCTTGTGTAGTAGTAAGGGTTGCGATGGCACTTCCAATGAAATCACGCTATAGACATAAAGAAGAGTGTGACATAACTGCTCACATTTTTAGAACACATAGAGGCAAAAGGTTTTTAGAATTTGAATTATGAGAATATGATATAAATAAATTCTGGAGGTTTAAATAAATTTTTAAGAGTCAAGTGCCCTTTCCAATTTCTGGAAATTGCTCAAAAGTTTATGATTTCATTAATCTTTTTAGCAATTTCCATATGTATGTTGATAAATACAAGCTACCTGTAAACGGTTTGACTCTGATAAATGTTTGACTCTATTCAATGTTTGACTCTGATAAATGTTTGACTCTATTCAATGGTTGACTCTGATAAATGTTTGACTCTATTAAATGGTTGACTCTGATAAATGTTTGACTCTATTCAATGTTTGACTCTGATAAATGTTTGACTCTATTCAATGGTTGACTCTGATAAATGTTTGACTCTGATAAATGTTTGACTCTGATAAATGTTTGACTCTATTCAATGTTTGACTCTGATAAATGTTTGACTCTATTCAATGGTTGACTCTGATAAATGTTTGACTCTGATAAATGTTTGACTCTGATAAATGTTTGACTCTATTCAATGGTTGACTCTGATAAATGTTTGACTCTATTCAATGGTTTTTCAGTACTGAAATGGGTCGACAGTAATTAATTGTGTGACCCTACATCAATGGTTTAAAAAATTTTTGGCAGGAATTTCCACTGGTGTCATCTTCTCGCTTTTTGGTGAAACAAGGGGAGATGACTCTAATCAAAAGTGATGCAACTACACGTAAACCCTTGAGCAAGCTGCTTGGCTCCCATAAAGAACATATTTATTTGTTCTTGTTCAATGACCTTCTTTTAGTTACAAAAAAGAAAGGGTGAGACATCTTTTTACTTGGGTTAGTTAAAAAGAAAGGGTGTGATGATGGAGGTCAAGTAGATAGAGGTTAGCAGAAACAGACTATAGTTGGTTGGTTGGAGAGACCAATGAAGGTGCAGGAGCTGACCGGTCACATGGGACGCTCAGCTGACCACTGAGGCGTGGGCCAGTAGTTAGATCAGAAGCGCAGTTGTTAGGTAGCTAGCAAAGAGAAGAGAAGGTGTTAGGTATCGGTTAAAGTCTGTCGTAATTATATACAGCTAGGGAACAGTTAGATAGTGTTAGGATTGGTCATGGGAGTGTGTAGTTAGTAGTAGTAGTAGTAGATAGCATATAGTATGAACAGTTAGATAGAAGTAGTAGTACAGTGTTAGGTAGGAAGTTGATTATATAAATTTTAATAAAGAACTCATTATTTTTACTTGAACTTGTGTGTGGATATATTCATCACCCCCACGAAAGATCTTTAATTTATCCCCCATCACAAAGGGTTAGACTTCTTTTTACCTGACTGCTAAAGACTGACTTGATTCTTTTTGTCCCAGGGTCATTTTTCAGGTGAGAGATTATTGCCAGCGTAATTCACTGCATGTTGAAGCAATTGACAACTTGGATAAATCTCGTCACATTGCTCCAGGAAGTGCTGCTGGACTCCACAATATTTTGTTTCTTGCTATGCTTGCAAATCATGAAAACAAACAAGTTGAATTAATTTTATCATGTAAATCTGAGTAAGTAATGTCTTGAGTGGGTTCAAATTCCAGTTTGTGTTGATCAGGGATGTGACAATTTTCCTCTGCTGATTTCATTTTCTCCTAATTTTTTCACCGCTTTACAATTTCTGTCCATTATGTAGTAAGTGTTAAATATTCGGGAAAAAATGGAAATGAATTCTACAGAAATAGCCCACACACGCATTCCACATATTTCTATTAAAACAGAGTATTACAGTACAGTTAAACAGACAATAAATACACGCATTTATTTTCAATTGGACTATTGTGCAAGGTAAAATGTAGGTCGAGGTTCAGAATTTCAAATTTTCTGCTATTTTCAGTTAAATATTTATCAAAAACACACAAAGAAAGTAATGCAGCTCTTCAGATGAAACTTATGTCTCCAAAGCCTGGTTTCTTTTCTGTTAATCTTGCTTGAGCTGTAGTCTCGCCATAGCCTAATTTATCTACCAGTCTCTGCTTCTAATTTTATTAAATTTGGGCAATCTCAAATTATATTGCAAATGGAGACTAGCGCGCTGCTCAGTGGACGCTCTAGTGACCTCAGCATGGCCCCAAGTACGTGTTTAGTACGGCTTGTTTTGGGAAAAATTAAAATGATGTCACCATCTATCTTAAATAGCTATGTTCCTGCTTTGACACATGCTATATATAGTCCAACAGATTTCAGGATGGAACTCACGTGACTCAAACTCGACCGTTTCTTGTTTGTGGTAGAAAAATGCGGACTATTTTAAATAAGGGATCTTCCATTAATAACATCACACGTGTGGGAAGTTATTGTGTGACGTGTGATGATTTGCACAGGGGGTTCAAATAGTGTGATATTAAACTAGTGCATTTTAAAAAGTAATGTTAGAAACTTAATTTTAGCCGTTATTTTGCGTTTTAGAAAACTGTTACAATAAACTAGACTACCCGTCATCCCTTGGATAACTGTGGATTTTTCCATAAAAAAACATCACGTCTGTCACTTATCGTCACAAAAAACCAGACCCCACATTCAAAAAGATGTTTTTTATCTTTTTAAAACACAGAAAACACTGATTTCGGACTATCCCTTCGTATACTGATGTCACAGGTGACCTACTCAACTCTACTTCACCTGCCCAGTGTCCCGCCAAGTCTCAGACAACATGTTTTTATCGTTTAAAAAAACTATTCCAGCATGTCCCTGACCACACTATCCCTTCATATGCTTAGGACAAAGAAACAGATGAACTCTACTTCACCTGCCCTGTATCCCGCCAAGTTCAGATAGGCAACTTTATCATTCACATCTAAAAAATAAAATAAAAAATTGAAAAAAAAAATTAACATTGACGTATTGGTCTAGAACCCGTGCCACCTGCATGAAAGCAGATTACACTAACAACTTAGCTATTTAACTTGTGACGTCACTGATGTTTTTTTATAGTATAGTTTAAACTTTGAGTCTCCTTATGCAACTTGATTTACGCGCATAGATCTAGATCTAAGTCTAGTAGTAGTAACTTTCAAATTAAATTTTATCTTAAATTAGCCAATTACATAGCTAAACAAACAAAGATTTATATAAAATAATGAAGGTCTGAAATTATCTAGATCTAGATAGAATTATCTAGATTCTATGACTCGTTTGCTTAAGTCTAGTTATTGCGTAACTCTTACTAGATCTAGATCTAATCATTAGACCTATTCTAGCTAGATAGATCTAGATAGATAAATCACAAAGATTTATATCAAATATTTAAGGACTAAAAAAATGTATTATTATTATAAAATGGATTGTATTTTTATCTAATTAATCTTTGGTTTGTATCTAATTAATCTTTGGGTTGACCTAGATTCTAGATCTATAAATAACTTTCTTGATATTTAGATCTATAAATAAATAGATAACTTTCTTGGACAGATTGTAGAGCTAGAGAAATTTATTGTAAAACAAAATGAAAAAGACAGTTGAAAATTTATATAAGTGTTGGAACGTAATAAAACAGCAAATGGACGTATTGGTAAAGTTATGGCTGACAGAAAATTAGCTTTAGGACACGTTAAACTTTTGAATGGGCCACAAAGTCTAAGATGGAAGCCGCCATCTTATTGTACTAAAAAATAAACAAATCATGTGACGTCACTATTCAGTCAAGGTAAAGCCATTGTTTGAAAAATTTAAAATTAATGTGGTTAATCTACCAATGAATAAATCAATAAATTAATGTCTTTAAATAAATTTGTGATTAACAGTCTGTCTGAAAACAAAAATTGTTCTCTACCTGCATACTATTTTACAGCTCTCCACCTAGCGCAGATTCTCTCCAGTATTCAATCAGACAAACAAAAAAACAAATGAATATTCAAACATGTAAACAAACTTGAGTTTTAGTAGTATAGAGATTGTAATAAATATTGATTATAAGGAAGTATATTTGTCGAGCTCAGTCAATAATTTAGGGGAAAAAAATCATTGTTTAAAAAATAAATCAATTCAAATGTTGGGGGGGGGGGGGAATTAAGCTGTTGTTGGTTGAGGTATGATGTCATTTTAGAGGGTAGTGTGGCTTTTTGTGACGGGATGGAGGGAGGTAAAAATTGTCCAAAAAAGAGTGACATCATTTATGGATTACTCGACAGCTATTCCAAAAAAAAAATAATGATGGGGCTTGGCTATCAAGATGGTTAATTTTGGTAACAAACTTCTTTTATTTAAAATATTAGCTATATTGAACAATTGATTAGTACAGTAACGGTGTGAGAGGATAAAGAGTTTTTTACCGAAAAATTTCCTTTTTTTCTCATGGTCTGGTCACATCACTGGTTGATGTATGGGTTGATGTTGCAGTGTTGATGTCTGTGTTGATGTTGCGGTGTTGATGTATGGGTTGATGTTGCAGTGTTGATGTATGGGTTGATGTTGCAGTGTTGATGTATGGGTTGATGTTGCAGTGTTGATGTATGGGTTGATGTTGCAGTGTTGATGTATGGGTTGATGTTGCAGTGTTGATGTATGGGTTGATGTTGCAGTGTTGATGTATGGGTTGATGTTGCAGTGTTGATGTATGGGTTGATGTTGCAGTGTTGATGTATGGGTTGATGTTGCAGTGTTGATGTATGGGTTGATGTTGCAGTGTTGATGTCTGTGTTGATGTTGCTGTGTTGATGTTGCAGTGTTGATGTCTGTGTTGATGTTGCAGTGTTGATGTTGCAGTGTTGATGTTGCAGTGTTGATGTTGCAGTGTTGATGTATGGGTTGATGTTGCAGTGTTGATGTTTGTGTTGATGTTGCAGTGTTGATGTTGCAGTGTTGATGTCTGTGTTGATGTTGCAGTGTTGATGTTGCAGTGTTGATGTCTGTGTTGATGTCGCAGTGTTGATGTTGCAGTGTTGATGTCTGTGTTGATGTTGCAGTGTTGATGTTGCAGTGTTGATGTATAGGTTGATGTTGCTGTGTTGATGTATGGGTTGATGTTGCAGTGTTGATGTCTGTGTTGATGTTGCAGTGTTGATGTCTGTGTTGATGTTGCAGTGTTGATGTTGCAGTGTTGATGTTGCAGTGTTGATGTATGGGTTGATGTTGCAGTGTTGATGTCTGTGTTGATGTTGCAGTGTTGATGTTGCAGTGTTGATGTTGCAGTGTTGATGTATGGGTTGATGATGTATGGGTTGATGTTGCAGTGTTGATGTATGGGTTGATGTTGCAGTGTTGATGTTGCAGTGTTGATGTTTGTGTTGATGTTGCAGTGTTGATGTCTGTGTTGATGTTGCAGTGTTGATGTATGGGTTGATGTTGCAGTGTTGATGTATGGGTTGATGTTGCAGTGTTGATGTTTGTGTTGATGTTGCAGTGTTGATGTCTGTGTTGATGTTGCAGTGTTGATGTCTGTGTTGATGTTGCAGTGTTGATGTCTGTGTTGATGTTGCAGTGTTGATGTTGCAGTGTTGATGTTGCAGTGTTGATGTATGGGTTGATGTTGCAGTGTTGATGTATGGGTTGATGTTGCAGTGTTGATGTCTGTGTTGATGTTGCAGTGTTGATGTCTGTGTTGATGTTGCAGTGTTGATGTCTGTGTTGATGTTGCAGTGTTGATGTTGCAGTGTTGATGTCTGTGTTGATGTTGCAGTGTTGATGTTGCAGTGTTGATGTATGGGTTGATGTTGCAGTGTTGATGTATGGGTTGATGTTGCAGTGTTGATGTTGCAGCGTTGATGTATGGGTTGATGTTGCAGTGTTGATGTTGCAGTGTTGATGTTGCAGTGTTGATGTTGCAGTGTTGATGTATGGGTTGAAGTTGCTGTGTTGATGTTGCAGTGTTGATGTTGCAGTGTTGATGTTGCAGTGTTGATGTTGCAGTGTTGATGTTGCAGTGTTGATGTCTGTGTTGATGTTGCAGTGTTGATGTCTGTGTTGAAGTCCCAAAAGATGTTGTCTCTCTTTGAATTGTGTTGATGCTGTTGCAGAAGTGAAAGAGCCCGATGGATTGATGCCATCGCACCAGCTCAGATGTCTGCAGACAATGAGAGGATCTATGACTATTGGGGCAAGTACCAGCTGACTAAATTAGGCCAAATTTTAAAATTCTAGAAGATGGGCTGTTAACTACCAGCTAATCCAACTTAAAAACCTTTTGGCTCCCATGCCACTGCAACTGTCTCACTCCCCTTATCCCAAAGAAAGGGGAAGTACTCCTTAAAATGTAACTTAACTTGAAAAAATAAAAATTAGTAAAATGGATAGCACATTTAATAAAGAAGTTTTTATTGAGTTCAATAAAAAAGTTTGACAGTAGCACATTGGAGCTCTACTACTAAAATTAGCCACATGTATTTTTTTTTTTTTGGGCTTATTTTTAAAATAGTCAACATTTTTTTTATACTTCAAAAACTTTTCTTTTCAGAATTTGGGGGGGGGGGGGTGTTCGGTCTACTGCATATCCATGTACAGACATGCCTACTGTTCTGCCAAAAGCTGAATTGTTCAGCTTTTTTACACAAAAAAACGTGTCCTGTTCTGCCGTCCCGTTTTTTTTAGTAATAATTAATATAAAGAAAAGTAATAAATCAAAATTAAAAAAAGAGCAGGGAAAAGCGTTTCAGTTTCCTTGTTTACTTACAAGTATCATCTAATACTAGATCTACTAATAGATAATGTGGACTATATAGCTTCTGAACATTATTTTTAGTAATTTGCAATTAAATTGTAGATTTCAATTATGCCTTAAATAACATGCAGGGAGAAAAATACAATAACATCATGACTAACATGCTAATTTCCGGATCTAGATAGTAGATCTACTAATCTAGATACTGAATACTGTGTACTGTCATACTGATCTATCTTGTAAGTTGTAACTAGTAACTACTATTATGAAGAACTTAGTAAGAAGTAATTAGGACTTTTACTAGGTAGATCTAGGTCTTAACACTTAACTTATGTTTTATATTACATATGAAGCCTTCAGCATTTGTTATTAATATAGCCTAGAACATAGCAAAGCATAAATAATCAAATCAATAATGAGTTGTGTCAAAGCAATGGGTTTTTTAGGGGGGGGGGGATCTCAGGTTACTGGTGAACTTTTAAAAAAAATTTAAGCAGCATTTAAATGTAGCTTAGAGACTATTTATATATAACTAGAAGCCTACTAATGTCATTAGACTAATTTTTATTTATTTTTGACTTAGTAAAGTAGCATTCCTCTTTTGGCTTCAGATTCCTCTTTTTTAGGCATGACTGTTCCTTCTTTTGGCTGACAGGAGTAGGCATGTCTGCCATGTATTTTATCAGAGAGGGGGGGGGGGGGAGAATATGCCATTTCCTACCACCTGTTACCAAAATCAGCTTTTTTTGTTTGAGGAAAATTTTACGCCAATTGGAAAAACATCAGCCATTTTCTTTAGCTGGTCAATTTTCTATCCTGCCAAATATTTAAAGGGAAAAGCAATTTATTTTAAGGACTGTTTATGTATGAAACCCAGCCATGTGCAGTTCTGATATTTTGATTCAACTTTGTGAACATTTTTTTAAAACATATCTTTATAACCAACCATCAAGTGACCAGGGTTGTGTTAAAGATGTTCATGCTAACTTAATTTACTCTTAGCTAGTGCCATATCATTTAAGTTAGTTATTTATAGTTGATTTTAAAAAACTATATTGTCGTATGTTTGACATGTCCAAAGGCATGTATGACAAAGATGAAAGGGGGTCATTAAATGATGAATGTAGTGTAAGGCTAACAATGTTAATAAGACTGTAAGCCTACTATAATTTGGTTACCGTGATATATATTCTATTGTTGTTTTTTTTCTATAGCCCCCACTTACATCATTGACTTTAGGCATTTAAGTATTTCAAGTATTATTTCTTAAGATCTAGATATGCTGGCATTTTGATGAAGTTGTTTGCTGTATGATTGTAGCACCTCCAATGTTGGCAGCTGGTGCTGTATGATTGTAGCACCTCCAATGTTGGCAGCTGGTGCTGTATGATTGTAGCACCTCCAATGTTGGCAGCTGGCGCTGTATGATTGTAGCACCTCCAATGTTGGCAGCTGGTGCTGTTTGATTGTAGCACCTCCAATGTTGGCAGCTGGTGCTCTGGTCTAACACAAGCTTTTCACCATCCACCAGTTTGCCATTGACTATTTCCTACAAGTTTTTTTTTTTATCCATGCCATGTTTGCTGTGTATTTGTAAGACTATGGCCTATATGTTTCAGACTGTCCACAATTCCAGTGTGTTAGAAAATACATTGCTCAGCAACCAGATGAGCTAACACTAGAGGAGGCTGATGTTATCAATGTCACACGCAAAATAGCTGACGGTAGGTAGCTTTTTACTTAAATGGATTCTACTTTTTTAAGGATTCAGAACTTTTTCCAACCATTTCTTGGGGCCCAAACTGCCTAAAACGTGCATTAGAAGATAAGCTATTGTCAAAAAAACTGGTGTTGTCAACTTTGTAGTGACCTTTAATTTCCTGGTTGGATGGTTCAGCTATTAAAATTTTAACTTGCTTAGGTCGTGCAACACTCCTGTACCCACCTGACCAAGTAATAAGTTATCAGAGGTGGGCAGTGCTAGTTAGGTTGATGCTGTGTCATCCAGTGACCCAAGTAATAAGTTATCAGAGGTGGGCAGTGCTAGTTAGGTTGATGCTGTGTCATCCAGTGACCCAAGTAATAAGTTATCAGAGGTGGGCAGTGCTAGTTAGGTTGATGCTGTGTCATCCAGTGACCCAAGTAATAAGTTATCAGAGGTGGGCAGTGCTAGTTAGGTTGATGCTGTGTCATCCAGTGACCCAAGTAATAAGTTATCAGAGGTGGGCAGTGCTAGTTAGGTTGATGCTGTGTCATCCAGTGACCCAAGTAATAAGTTATCAGAGATGGGCAGTGCTAGTTAGGTTGATGCTGTGTCATCCAGTGACCCAAGTAATAAGTTATCAGAGATGGGCAGTGCTAGTTAGGTTGATGCTGTGTCATCCAGTGACCCAAGTAATAAGTTATCAGAGATGGGCAGTGCTAGTTAGGTTGATGCTGTGTCATCCAGTGACCCAAGTAATAAGTTATCAGAGATGGGCAGTGCTAGTTAGGTTGATGCTGTGTCATCCAGTGACCCAAGTAATAAGTTATCAGAGATGGGCAGTGCTAGTTAGGTTGATGCTGTGTCATCCAGTGACCCAAGTAATAAGTTATCAGAGGTGGGCAGTGCTAGTTAGGTTGATGCTGTGTCATCCAGTGACCCAAGTAATAAGTTATCAGAGGTGGGCAGTGCTAGTTAGGTTGATGCTGTGTCATCCAGTGACATAGTCGGTGGGGGTTCTAACACACACATTACCATGGTCCCCAAAATGCCAACCATTATACATTAAGTTATTGCTATTAACCTGTAGCTGGTAGTAACAATTATTAATATCACGGGCAGTGTTTCTTCCAGACTCAGATATATAAAGTATATATTTCTATATAAATTCCATTTTGTTCTGGGGGGGGGGGGGGGGGGTGTGTGTTACATGCCTGGAAGAAACTCAGTTATTTGTAAAGAAATACTTTGAATGGCCAAAAAAAGGCATGCATGTATATTAGTATGTGGAACAAAATTCAATACTCAAACTGGAAAAGGCAACAGACAAGTTTAACCCTTTGATCCCGGCAAGCCAGAAAAGCGGCTTCAAGATCAGGCATATATGTCCAAAAACCTGGTTTTCTGGCCCAATGATCTAGCGTCATAGTCCTAGGGGCTGGTATACCGTCTAATTAGCGGCGGACTGAATAAAACTGTGCATAAATCTTTATAGTGCGGAATTATGATACTAAAAATAGATTTTGGGAAAAGTGAAAGTGTTTCCATTTCGTAAGATGTGATTCATTTCAAGGACGCAATCACTGCATATTTACCGATTGGTTCTATACATCTGTCACTTTAGCTGAGTACTTGTTAGATATACAAGGTTATGTGGTATAGCATTGACAAACCGTTAATAGTTTCCAAAGTAACTTGTGACAAAGAAAATGGATCGTGGTACTCATAACATGTTCAATGGCAAAACATCAGCTATTGTGTGGGGTGATAAGGAGCCAATTTACTTTGTATGTACAAAATATATCAAAGATACAGAGGTAACTGTGCTGAGCTATGACAAAAAAGAAGGGAAAAGAATTCCACTATCGTGTCCAACTGCAGTGAAAGCATATAATGCTTACATGGGAGGGACTGACAAAAACGATCAAATGACCAAGCTACAAAAATCAAGACGCCATTATAAATGGCCGCAGCGTTAGATGGTGAAGTTTTTTATGTGGAGTGCCTACACCTGGAAAAAATCGTCTAACTTTCCATATGTTTATTGACAAACTCTGCCACTAATTAGTTGAAGCATATCGAAGAAGGGTTTTTAGTTCAGAAGGGGAACTTGATCAGATGAAAGATTGACCAATGAAGGTAATATCCCAGTGCACTTACCTGAGCCACCGCCAGGAGCAACAAGCTACAACAGATGTGTGGTCTGTTTGGAAATCTACAAGTGAGCGAAAAGAGCAAATCCTAATGCCAATGACAAAGACTTGTCGAAACAAAAAAAAACAACTGTTTACTGGTGCAAAACATGCAAAGTTTTTCTTTGCATCGGGTCCGGCAGTGATAGATCTAACTGTTTTGAAAGTTATCACACGAAAGTGGACTTCTGGCGATGAACTAGTATGGCCAGGTATCAATAATAACAAAACAATAACTAAATGTAAATTTGTTTCTTCTACGTTCTATCAAACCCATAATTATGTGTTCGTTTTATATACATAGTTATGTTCATACATTGTAATAATAATCATTAAAAAAGTTTTAAAAAACCCACGTTTTCTGATTGAACTAAAAAGTAGAAAATAAATACTATACATCACAATAATGCAAGCGATCACTCTACTATAAGCGATGAAAAACGTGGGGCGCCGAAGTAAAAGTTATATTACTATTGATTAGATAATACTATTGACTTTTATTAGGGAGCTTGTAGAGAGTCAACAGTATTAGAAACTGTCGAGTGGGATAGCAATCGTGTGCCCAACCACTCGACCATATCGTCTCCCCCAAACTGGCCACCAGTGGTAATAGTTACCTCCTGTAAGTTTAAAGTCGGTTCAAACTAAATTATCTGCCCCTAAGCCTGTCGCGACGTGGGATCGTTCGCTTCACTGCGCGCGGCAAGAGAGAGGCGAGCTACGCGTCGCTCGTTTTTTTTCTAATGGCTCGCAGAGGAGAATTATATATATAGATTATATAGCGGTCTAAAATGCTCAATAAAATGTTTCCATTGATCAATTTAGTAATAATAACAATTGAATATTCTATGGTCATCCAAAAGAAAGCTTCCCTGAAAATTTCAGCGCGCTAGCTAACTGGGAAGTGCTAGAAATTTCGATCGCAAGATTTGATTGGAAAAACAAACAGAGAAAGCAAGTTAAAGAAAACGTGGGAAAAACAACAAAGAATTTCAGAATCTTGCTGAATTGTTTGTTTGATCCTGAGCCTGGATACCAAATTTGGCTTGATTATCTCAAACGGTTCAAAAGTTATAGGCAGTTAGAAAAAGATAAGTGACAATTGGTTTGGGCCTGGGAGCTCAGGAAATGGAAGAAATTAGGCCAGGGCTCAAATGTTAATGGGCACCAGCTACTTCACCTTACAATCATCCTTAAGTCAAATTCTAGAAAATTTTAGTGGAGTAATTTTAAAAGAACTTCCATCTGTTTGTTGTAACGACCATTGTAGTACTTCTATTGCGTTTTCTCAATTTGTTACATGTCATTAACATATGTTGTACATCAGTTGCATGTTATAAAAACAGTTAGTGTTGTTGCGATCTCAGAAGAAAAGAAATTCAAGAAACTCCTTATAACATTCACTTGTTACCAATGATGTATTTTTAGATGCGTAACACCTAATTTTGTGCTGTAAGCTCTATGGTCGGTGGGATGTAGTTCTATAGGTCTGGAAAAAGTCATGAATTTAGTTTTTAAAAGTCTGAAATCTAGTTTTAGAAACTTGTTCACGAAGTCCGTATTTTCTGACTTACAAAATTGCTATTTTTCAGTGAATTGACTCTAATTTGTTTCTCTTTGAGAAAAAAAAGTGTTAAGTACTACTTCCGGTCAACGGACATCACTCAAAATATGACAGAAGGCAGTGAATTAGATCTTTTAATGTGAAACTTTATCCGTCTGAAACAGTTCTCAAGTTATAGGCTTTTGAAAAATTGAAAGTAGAATAAGTTCCGCTACCTGTGGAAATCACTAAAAAGTTGATACAGAACTACAAATTTAATATAATATATATGAAATTTCATCAACCTTTCAGTAACGTTACTCAAGTTATCGTGTTCACAGACATACTATATTGGAAAACTATATTTTTCCCACACAGGGACGTGTAAAAGATCAAGATTCGTGAAAATCTCAATTTCGATCATTTGCACAATTACAATACTTTCTCTATACTTCATATACGAGAAAGTTAAAAGTGTGCGAATGGTAGTTTAGGTATAATTTATCTGTATTTTTAATGATGACAATTAGGGTTAGTCATTGTTACTACGGGGGGGGGGGGGGGGGGGGTCACAACACAGTTCATGCTATTCAGTATTAAACAGGACATATTAAACAGGCGCCCTGAAGTCTAGACTACCATGACCTCACAGTGACTCCTTCACCATCTTCTGTTGGGGAGGGGGGAGTGGGACTTACCATCAACTTCTAATTGCAGACTAAAGTTTCTCAGCTATAAGCATAGTAATAGTTTAATTGAAAACAAAATGGAATTAGATCATGAACAGATTGCACAAGTTTACTGTTGGAAATAAAATACTTTCATCCTTTTAATCAACTATTTTAATTATTAAAGTTTTGGGCGGCGCTATATTAGATCTTAGGTGGTGGGGTGCTGGTTTGTTCACTCTGTCGCCCAGATGGTCCTGTGCAAGCTGTATGACCACCTTAAGTGTTGGTTAATCAATCTCCATAAGAGTGAGGTAGAACACATCTTGGCAACTACTCATTCATCTGGGGCCTTGCACTGCATTCTCAGGAGCTACTGGTTACACTGCTGCAGTGTTATCAAATGTAGCTTGCTCTTAATGCGCCAGGTGCAGTTTTACTGTAGAATCAAGTACCCCTGATATCTAGTAGTACCCCTGATCCCTTATGCAAGACAACCATATACCAAGTGCTAATATAGATGCTCAGGAACTCTGGGCCTCATCAGACTTTTTAATTTTTATATAGGATCTACCGTGTACAGATAAAAATCGCACTCTGCCGGAGCATCACCCCTATTAATTTTTACTTTTTTGCTTTCTCTGAAACCTTTCAACAAACCCCCAAAGTTTTAAGGCAATTGGATGAACTGTGTAATAATGCATAAAGGGCAGACAGACATATATTCAATTTTATACATATAATATAGATATATTAAAGTACTGGGTTTTTTTTTAATAGCACACACACACACATATTTATGTAGGTTATATATCAACTCACTTAGCCCTCGCTGTTAGAGACTTTTATTCATCCAAAAATAAAAAAATTTAAGGCATAGACTAAGACAGTTTTTGCAAGCAGTGAAGTTTGCTGAAAAAAATTTTTAGAGTCAAAGTATGCAGGCAATCAAGTTGGCTGAAAAATGAATGATAAAAATACACAGTTGATCACTAGTAAGATTGGATCATTAGGCGGTGGTTTGTTATGTTATCAGAATTAGGGAATTTCAATTTTTAAAACCACACCAAATTTGTGACTAGTTTATTATACCAATACATTTGGTGACCATGGACATAATAACGTATTTATCTGCACATATTTTTAAAGTGTATTCTATTCACACAAATAATGTATGAATTAATATTTTTTTTAGAAAATTACATTTCAGGCTTGATGAATGAATGTGCTAATACCCATACATACATACATACATACATACATGTAGATGTATCTGTACTCCTTAGGCTGGTGTGAAGGAGAAAGAATCCGTGATGGAGAACGGGGCTGGTTCCCTGCCAGCCACACTGAGGAAATCAACAACAGCCACGTGAGAGCGCGCAACCTTCGACTAAGATACCGCCTGATGATAGCATCACAAGAGTTTGCACAAAATGACTTCAAGCATTAATTGCTAGGGCATCTCACTTCAAGTCCATTGTTATTTCATTCTCATATATGCAACACTTCTGCAGCATAAAACGATATCAAATGTGTGTGTTAGGGTTAACTTGTACAAAGTTGAACAAGCTAGTACATATGCCATGAATATGTTCGCAGTTTGACTGGTTCAAGTTGACAATACCTGCACTGCATGTATGCTGTGCTTTAGTTTGAGGCATTTCAGCATTTAAGACAGTTTGAGGGATTTGTTATTAACATTTTGACATATTTACAAATTTATATTTTTACAAAAACACTTTTGGATCAAAATAAACTCTGACTGAATGATTGGAAAAGATATTATAAATTGCATCACAAACTGTAAATACTAAGTCAAAGGGAGACAACTCAGCAAATATTGTATATCCTTAAATCATTAGTACATAAAATTTCCTTTCAGAATCGACAAATTAATTTTGTGTTATCTTTAAAGCTCATAACAATACTTACTATATGTAAATACATTTATTTGATATTAATTGTTTGGCTTTGGAACAGTATAACCTAGAAAACATATACAGCTTGAATTTCCACCAGCCCTTCAACTAGTGACTGTTACCTAAGTCTCAACCCAAGGTGTTTGCTGGAAATTCTCAGCTAACCTTAAGTAGAATCCCCATTTCTGCTTGGAAATAAACCCTTATTAGAGCCCAACCCTTATTAGAGCCCTTTAAAAGAATGTTTACAAAATTTTAAAAAATCCTCTCATTTGTAGGCTACATCAAAATGATGACGATATTTTACAAGTTATTCGATATTTTACAAGTTATTCGTATGTAAATGTTCTAGTTGTGAAGAACTACTGACTAATGGTAAGAATGCTAGACTAGCGTGGTTATCTATGTAGCTTACTTAAATGTATATAAACAAGCAAGTGAATTTTTGTCTAGCCCTACCATATCACAATAATTGTTGAACCAGCTAAATAAAAATACATATTTACAAGTATAAGATAATACTGACTGAGGTATTCTAAATAAATTGTGTTACTTTTGAATGCATCACTGGTTCCAGAGACTAATAATTATTTCTACAAGAAAACATTCATGGTATGTGTAGGCCCTCTAACCCTTGCACTGTTCTAGCCAGGTTAGCACAAAGCCACAGACACAAAGACTGTTTACCTGTTCAGAGCTATGCTTCTTCTGTATTTTGATAGTCAGATCTACTGTATGTGTCACAATTTATTTTTTATTAATATTTTTAAAAGATGCTTTTTTCACTTATTGTAAACCCCAGCACGCTACTGATTTAATGTGTTTGAAACGCACGTTATAGGCATACCAGTTTTTTTTTTTAAAGAAGTGGTCCCTTTTTTTTAAAGTGTACACTATTCGTGTGTTTTTTACTTCCCATTTTATTTTTATCAAAAAGTGAAAAATGCCAATTTCAGTAAATCGTGTCACAAGTTACAAACCAAAATTTTAAAATTTCATAACTTTTTCTGTTTTGAAATTTGGTGTCAATGGTCTAAGTTAGAATCTTGAAATAGGTGTCAATGGTCTAAGTTAGAATCTTGAAATTTGGTGTCAATGGTCTAAGTTAGAATCTTGAAATTTGGTGTCAATGGTCTAAGTTAGCATTTTAAGTTCTTAACATAGAAACTTTTTAAAAAGCTGTAGGACCATTTTAAAAAATCAGTTTGACATACCTAATATAAAACTTGTGGATTACAGCATTTGACTATACAAAGTGAAAGTGTTGGAGGTTGGCACAGTTACTGTAACTGCCCAATAGATATATTTTGGTTATTTCATCAGTAAGTTGCTTAGTCATCTAATTATATTTTTCGAGTACAAGTTGTTATTGACATGGGTGCAATGTTTATTTTCTACTATTGGGGGCCATTTGCATTGCAATTGGAGATCTTTATTTGATTAGTCTTTCTACATTCCATTTGCTCAGCTTTAAGAAACTGGTTCACATTGATGCATCTTTATGTTCATGTAGTCCATTACAACAAACAATATTGGTAGTCTCTTCATTCACACTGTAAGTCATTTCAAATAATCAAGAAATTATGTTATTTTCTTGTTAGTCCAGATCTCGCTAGGTGGGTTGGTGTCCATTTGTCTGATCTAGCTAGGTGGGTTGGTGTCCATTTGTCTGATCTAGCTGGGTGGGTTGGTGTCCATTTGTCTGATCTAGCTAGGTGGGTTGGTGTCCATTTGTCTGATCTAGCTAGGTGGGTTGGTGTCCATTTGTCTGATCTAGCTAGGTGGGTTGGTGTCCATTTGTCTGATCTAGCTAGGTGGGTTGGTGTCCATTTGTCTGATCTAGCTAGGTGGGTTGGTGTCCATTTGTCTGATCTAGCTAGGTGGGTTGGTGTCCATTTGTCTGATCTAGCTAGGTGGGTTGGTGTCCATTTGCCTGATCTAGCTAGGTGGGTTGGTGTCCATTCGTTTGATCTAGCTGGTTTTCTGTGTACTCAAGTTTATATAGTTAACCAGTAAACATAAAATATTTTACCTTAGCCCTAACCTTACAACACTAACCTTAAATTCAATTATTTTTATTTTGTCATAAAAATTCTTTGAATATTATATACATAGAAATATTGATATTATTAGCTTGACATATTCAATATTATTTATTCAATTTTTTTTTCAAAATTCTATTGTATTAATTAACATTGAATGTCATCAATTGTACAAAGTATTGTTTTAATTAATTAGCATTGAATGTCATCAACTGTACAAAGTATGAATGTATTTGTCGTGCTGAAGCTTGTGTTCACTGAACATTTTTTGAATGATGTCAGATTTTTTTTTAACATGTGTTCATTCCTTGTTATAAATCTACATAGAAATAAACTATTCTACTCTCATATTTTAGTTTTTCTTGCAACTAAACAAATATAGGACTAGATCTACATGTTTTGTAAAGAAAATGTTTCCAGATAATAAAATTAACTTTTGGTAAACTTTGTGTTCTGGTAAGTAAGTACTGTTAGTGTACTTAGTAAGTACTGAAATATTTTACTTTTATTCCAGATCTATAACTTTTCCCCTTCGACAGCTTATTTGTAGATTCTAGATCTAGAGAAATTTATGAAAAGGACTGTTGAAAATTGATATTAGTGTTGGAACGTAATAAAAATAGCAAACGGATATATCTTTAAAACTATAGCCGACAGAAAATTAACTTTATAATGCGTTAAACTTTCGAATGGGCAGCAAAATATTCATTGAAAGCCGCCATTATTGTTGTAAAAAGTAAATAAATCATGTGACGTCACTAAAAGTAAAGTCAATGTTTTGAACTTTTATAATTAATGTGGTTAATCTACCAATGAATAAATCAATAAATTAATTAATGTCTTTAAATAAAATTTGTGATTAACAGTGTGTTTAAAATAAATTGTTCTCTACCTAAATACTATTTTACAGCTCTACACATAGTGCAGATTCTCTCCTGAAACCAAACGGACAAACAAAACAATATTCAAACATGTAAACAAAGTTGAGTTTCAGTAGTATTAGGTAGTCCAAACTGAAATTAACTATTGATTGCAGACTTCAGGAGTGATTATGTCATGAAAGAACTTTTAATTGTAAGCTCTATGCCACAAATTTTATAAAAATATCTTAATAAATAAAAAAGTTATGCGATTTTTAAAAAAGCAAAATTTGGTAAAAAACTGATTTTCAAAAAGTGCCATTTTTGAGAACCCATATTTGCTAAACTAAATAACATAGAAGTGTAGAAATTGGTAAAGTTACTGCAAAGTTTGTAATATATATGCCCAATTTTTTTCAGTCATCTAAAATGAGTCTTTCTAAGGTAAAAAAAAATATTTGAAAATGACAAAAATGCGTTTTGGTCACTTTTTTTTTTTTTTTTTTTTTTTTTTTTTTTTTGCTTTGGACATAGAATAACTCTAAAACTATTTTGTTGGTAACATTAGCAGGAAGAATGTGTTCATTATTTTCAAAAATCACATGAGTTAAAATATTATTTTAAAAAAATGCCACAGTTATCTAGAGCAGGAGAAACAGAATCAAAATTTAGTGGAGTAATGTAATGTAATCTAATAAAGACGTGATGCCTACAAGTAATGCAGCAGTTGCTGCTACATTCAAACCTATTGGGTTGATAACTGCTTTGGGGGAACAATTTTTAAAACGACAACTCCACATCTTTGTATGTCTTGTTTCCCCCAACCTTGATCTTGTGGAGCATCAAGAGTAAATGATATGTTTTGGGAACTGTAGTTGGGGGGGGAGGGGGGGGGGGCTTGGCCTTCTTCCCTTCCCTTGTAAGGAAAGTTCTGGATAGGCCACCATAAATGTCTCCAGCTATGGAATAAATAATTGATTTAGTGATTAATAAATATAATTAAATATAATTAAATTTACAATTAGCCTATTGTATAGGCCTACTATTTGTCCTATGACTGTAACTGGAAACATATGAAAAAGCCTGAAAACACCTTTTTGTTTAAAGTAATTTATACTTTATAGTATACGAGCCGGCCCGCGGCATAACATACGCCGCTATTTAGTTGTTTCTAATTTTCAATAATTCATAATTTGTGAATTCGACAGTACCAACGCTGACACTGAAAATATTTCTTTAAAACACTATAAGTAGCTCGTTAAGGACCATAACCCCCCCCCCTTCCTTCCCTCCCCCCTCCTCCCCCCCCCCCCCCCCCCCCCCCCTACGTTTAAAATCGTTGGCTCTGCTTGTAAACATTTAGAGTGAACACAGCTCACTAAAACCATGTAGGGGTGGGGAGGTAGGGAGAGCGTTTGCAGCTTGTTTTCTAACGGCTCGAAGAAGAGAATTATATATATAGATTTTGAATATTAATTCTATTGAAGAAATATTCGTTGTTTGTGCCACACTGGCTGAGATATCCAATGATGAAGATGCCATACTGTGGTTCTCAACATCATATAGGACAACTTAACTGTCCTTCAGTGTTACTATATGCATATAAAATAAATAAATAATGAGAAAAACTACTAGATCTAGTACTACTTACACTTACAACTAATATAACATTTAAAACTAAGTCACAACATGTACAATCTTACTAAATTGCACCACCATCTAAAAATTGATCTGGTACATTTCATTAAGGAGAGTGGCGCAGACCATTTCACATTATTCAGCAGGGGAATCAGAATCAAAGTGCACAACAGAAAATTAAAAATTAATCACATTAGTCCTTAAAATTTAGTGTCTTTTGTTTTAAATAAATCGATAAAAATGTATAGTTATTATAATTATAAGTTTCTTTTGTGTTTCAATAATATTTTATAAGTATTTAACCTTCGTTCCCTGTAAATAATTGAGTTCGTCCACATAGTAACCAGAAAGGTCTGGTGGCCATTTTGAATTTGTCGATTCATAATTTTGACGCGATAGTCCAGATAAACTGTAGTAATACGACCCTATCATTTATCCCATTCGATAGATTTTAAAGAATTAGTAAACACTAGCATCTAATAGTTAAGTGCATCCATATTTTAAGTCCCTAGAATGTCCTGAATTAAATAGCTTCACGTTTAAACACACCATGTGTACAAGCGTAGTTCACACGCAGTGGACTAGTAGCGTTCAAATTTACATTAATAACGTGTGCTAATTAAAC